TATAACAAGTTAACATAACTAATCTAAAATGTATAATGAGCCAAATTATAAAAATTTAGCTTTGATAAATATGGTATAATATTCTTATTTTATAAATCTCATTATTAATTTTAAGCTACTTTGCATCCTGAAGAATCCACTACCCATATTTAGACAGGGTAAAGTGTTCATCCAGACTTATTCTGGAAAAGAAGAAGCGAATTTATTCTTTTGCATTTTCAAAAAGTAATTCACCAATCTCACGCTACTAAGTAAGATTTGACTGTTGGTCTTTTAGGGAGCATAGTGGCTTTGTAAGATAAGTTCTGGATTGCTAACCACAAGGCCAACAGTTTGAACCCACCAGCCGCTTCTTGGGAGAAAGATAAGGCTTTCTGCTATTGAAAATATGTATAGCTTTGGAAATCCTACATGGGGTTGCTATGCGTAGGAACTGACTTGGCAGCACTTAACAACAACAGCAACACTGCACTTTTAAAGTACGTTTTATGATTATCCAAGAAATGAAAGTTAATGTAACGTTGTAGTAAACCACTGTAAACTACTATAAACTAACTGTTCTATAGGAGAACTTTGCACCTGGTGGGTCATTATGCTTAACCTTGTTAGATGATTTTTGCTTTCTCATGTGTGGAGCAAGGAACTCTGGTAGCGTAGTAGTTATGAATCGGACTGAAAACCTCAAGGTAAGTTTGAAACTATCAGCTGTTCCATAGGAGACAGATGCAGCTTTCTGCTCCTATAAAGATTTACAGCCTTGGAAACCCTATGCAGGGGTGCTCTGATTTGGAATTGACTCCATGGCACACAACCACCACCATCACCATGTACAGAGCGGTGGGATAAAGTGCTGGACTGCAAGGTCGGTTTGAAACTCAAGGTCAGTGGTTCAAACTCACCAGCTGTTACTTGGAAACGCTATACAGGGTTGCATGAGTTGGAACTGACTTAATGGCACTTAACAACAATAGTGGTGGAGGGTGAGTTCTTCCACCTTGTTGAAAAGATAAAGGAATTCTATATCACCCAAGTTTCCATTCATTTTAACATTCAACATCCAACAAACATTAACTGAGCAGCACTCTATGCATACTGTTGTACTTATTAGGATCTCTGCTTTTGATGAATTTATAATTGAATCCTAAGATACTAGAAATTATATTGATTTTAGATGTTAAACTGTTTTAAACAAGTAATCCTGGTAACACAGTGGTTAAACGCTTAGCTGATAAGCAAAAGGTAAGAGGTTCAAACCCAGCAGCCTCTCTTAGTGAGAAAGGTGTAGCAGTCGACTTTTGTAAGCCCTTGGAAACCCTGCAGGGCAGTCCTGCTGTGTCCCATAGGGTCACTATGACTTGGAGTTGACTACCAATGGATTTTTTTTTTTTTCTTTTATTAAATGAATGTTGTTTTTGTTGTGCCGTGGAGTTGGTTCTGACTCAGCGACCTTACACAGGACTTCCGAGGCTGTAAATCTTTACGAGAGCAGAAAGCCTCATCTTTCTCCTGACCTTGAGGTTAGCAGCCCAACTCGTAACCACTATGCTACCAGAACACCTTACTTAAATGAATAAAACCTCTTTGTTAGTTTTTGGGTAGCCATTTGTTTGTATCAATTTTTTTTTGCATTTCTTTCACCTAAAGTGTTACAATTTCAAAAGATATAAGTATAGATACTTTTTTCACTTATTTATTATTTTGTATTAAGCTTAAGCAAAATTTAACTCAGACATAATCACTATTTTGGCAGGCAGTTTAGATAATTATTTCTCTTCTTATTACTTTTTTTTTTTAAGGTTTTTATTATGGATTGAGTGAAAGTTTACAGGGCAGATCGTCAGTTTTACATTCAACAAATCATACACCTTGCTTCACTACAATGATCATAATCCCCTCCATGTACCATCAGTTCACCGTATTTCTCTCTATTCACTTTAGCTCTTTTTTTTTTTTTTTACCACTCAGGTATATATAATAATTTACACCACCAAAGGGACTATTCTGCAAGTTGCCTCCTGGCCGCCAGCTCTTAGTCCCTCTCTTTCCATGAATCTAGAGTCCTCAGCTGCGCTCTCCTTCCATGTCCCCATCTCTGCCACCATCTCTGCCATCGCTGCTTCTCTGGATACGGTCACGCATTCTGCTTGTGCTCTTCTCCCTTGATGGTCCTAGGGTCCTCCATTTAGATGACTCTCCCGTTGTTACAAATCTTCTACCTTTACAATTGTGACAGTTGCTATTAATCATGATAACAATCGCTATTGATGATTAACCATTTTTAAGTATACAATTCAGTCACTTTAATGACATTCACACATTGTGCTACCTTTGTTGTTGTTTTGTGCCGTGGAGTCGGTTCTGACTCATGGCAACCCGGTACAGGGTTTCTGAGGCTGTAAATCTTTAAGGGAGCAGAAAGCCTCATCTTTCTCCTGCAGAACAGCCTGTAGTTTCAAACTGCCAACCGTGAGATTAACAGCTCAATTTGTAACCGCTACGCTACCAGAGCTCCTTGCTCCCTTCACTGCTATGCATTTCTAAAAGTTTTATATCACCCAGAAGAGAAACTTGGGGCCTTCAGCAGTAGCTCTCCATTTTCTCTTTACACAGCCCCTGATATTCTCTTGCTCTTTTTGCTTACTACTGTTGCCAATTGAAAGGAGCCCTAGTGGGCTGTAGGATAAGCACTAGGCTACTAATCACAAAGTTGGCAGTTCAAACCCACCAGCCACTCGGGAAACCCTGTAAGTGTGAGTCGGAATGTACTTGATGGCAGTGGGTTCAGTTTGGTTTTGGTTTATTGTCAGTTGAGGTGCAGTGGTGGTGCAGTGGTTAAAGCACACAGCTGCTAACCAGGGGGTCATGATTGGAACCCACCTGCTCCTCCATGGGAGAAAGATGTGGCCATCTGCTTCAGTAAAGATTTAGTCTCCGAAACCACATGGCAGCTCTACTTGTTCTAGAGGCGTTAGGAATTGAAATGAACTCAGCAGTAGGTTGTTTTCTTTTTTTTAAATTATCAATTGAAAGCTCTTTTCTTGGACATGCAGCAAGTGTTGAATTTTTAGTTGCTTTATACCCATTCCTTTATTAACTGGAGATGGAGATATGTGATTACTTGGTAAATGTCCGCTGTTAACCAGAACTCTACTCCTTGGACTGTAATGGTTAAGCTTAGCTCTCATTTAAAAAGGAAAGGTGGTGATGTGAAAGACCCAAGGGGACTGAAGTTCTTTAGCTGAAAGTATGCGTATTCTGAGAGGCAAAAATCACTCCAGTTTTGGAACTTTGTTTTCAGGTCCAGGGTAATGACTGGCTGCAGGTACTGGGCTCTCTGGATCCATCACGGTGCTGTTTGGGGAGGCCCCCAGGCCTGCCATGGATGGAGCTTATAAAAACTCCTTCAGTTATCTATCCGGAGGATGCAATCTTGGGGCACCGAGCTGGGTTCTCGCTCCGGAAGCGCCTACACTAGCACCCTGGAGGGTCCTGGCAGCCGTTGTGGTGGGGGGGCGTGACCCTTCCTAGATGGCAGGCTGTGCTCGGAACTGATGTCTCTTCTTATTACTCTTTTTTTTTTTTAATTAAATGTTTTTATTTTGGATTGAGTAAAAGTTTACAGGGCTCATCATCAGCTTCACATTCAACCATTCATATAGCTTGTTTCATTACATTGATTATTTGTTGTTGTTAAGTGCCGTCGAGTCGGTTCCGACCCATAGCGACCCTGTACAGGGTTTCCGAGGGTGTAAATCCTTACGGGAGTAGAAAGCCTCATCTTTCTCCCGCAGAGCGGCTGGTAGTTTCGAACCGCTGACCTTAAGGTTCGCAGCCCGATTCCCCTCCAAATATCATCAGTTAACAGTGTTTCTCTCTATCCTCTTTAGCTTTTTTTTTTGGGTGGGGGGGAACTTGCCTTTTTGGAATTTACAGTCTCGGCTTTTAGGGAAGGTTTTTACATTTGTCTGTGGATATCCAGGGCTCATGTATGAGATTACTAACAAGCATTACTGAATAATCAGATGAGGGACAGTTTGCTATGTCTACTAGATGGCTAAAGTCTGATCCTCAGAGCCTATGGTTTGGACGGTCAACAACGCTTGGGCCCACGGGGTCTTGACCTCCTGACCAGGTCTGCACGGTCTGCATCAGATTCCCACTTATTTATTGTTTGTTTAAGGGACGCTGCCTGTCTTAGGCGGTCAGTGCGAATTCCTCAGTCTTACCCGTCATTGAAGCTCATTGCAGCATGGCAATGGCTCTGTCTTAGGTTGCCGAGGTTCCACGTGATCCTTACCCATCTCTGGCCACATGTCCAGCATAAACAGCCGCCATCCGAGGAAGACAGGGAGGGAGGAGATCGGCTGGGGACCCCATATGCAAGACGTTGCCAGCCCACCACCTGCTCTAAGGTGACCAAGCAGGATCACTATGCTGAGGTTCAATCAAGTTCTTAGGGGATCTTACTCTCTAGCAGGGTAGCAAATTAGTAGCCACTCAGTGCTCACTTTGAGAATTACTTATATCATAAATTTGAGCATGTAGCTGATGAATATCCACAGACAAGTGGATATTATTCCACAACCTCCTAAAATGCTGTTGGATTAAGTTCCAATCAAGTTCTGGATTACTGAAAGATAACCAAATATACCATGAATAACCTTAGCTGGGAGTGTAATCTGGATATATTGGGTCTTATTTCCCTTAAGTGATCTTCCTTTCTCTAAAGCATTTAGTCTGTTTTGTAAACCTTTATCTATTTACTCTTGGATCATATGAGCGAGTCTTATTACTTTTTAAAAAAATATTTATCGTATTGATGCTTAAATTTATTTAATTTATGAAAAATCGCGTAAGTCTCTTACTAATTACAATGATCAAGGTAAGAATACGTGTGGCAGTTTAGTAGAATATGAATGAGATTAAGAAGAGATAATACATAAATAAGATAAGTTATGTTGGAACATAAAAATTAATATCTTAATTTTTGCTTTGTTTAGGCTTTATAAAGAACGGTTAAGTCAGGTGGATGCAAAACTACAAGAAGTCATAGCTGGAAAGGCACCAGAATATTTGGAACCACTGGCAACTTTACAAGAAAACATGCAAATCCGTACAAAGGTAGCAGGTAGGAAAGTAAAACATCTCTTCCATGTATTGAATGTGAATAAATCTAAAAAGTATTTTGTCAAGTAGATGTTTGTTGTTAATGAGCTTACAGATATATATGAATATTTCACCGTCAGTCAACTCACAATTATTTATTAAATACATTTTACTTTTCTCTGCTGCTATAGGGTATGAAAAACAAGCCCATCTAGTTTATGTGAAATATCTAGAATAGAGAAACATATAGAGACCAATGTAATTACTAATACAAAGGTTACCAGGGATGGTAGGAAGGGGAAAACGGGACTCACTACTTAGAGGGCACTTAGTTTCTATTAATGATGATGGAGTAATTTGGAAGCAGATAGTTGTATTAGTTGCATAATATGAATATAATCAGTTTCACTGAATTGTGTATGTGAAAAATGTTGATTTGAAAATGTTTTGTTATATAAGAAAAAGCTTCAATAATTTCACAGAAATATTCCATTATTCTTTAATTCCATTTGTCCATAAACTTTTCCCAGCTCCTTTGTATGTTTTTAATTATAATTAAAAGAAAAAAAAACACAACCAATCCCTCAAGTCTGTCACATGTTACTGAGAAGCTATTTCTATACGTTAAATAATTAGAAACCACCTACCTTTTTATTACAGATACTGGTACTGTCACAATTTAATTCCTTTTAGATAAAGTAAATGAAATAACCTTAATTTAAATACTCTTGGCATTTTTTCATCTATAAGAATGTTAAGTACTTTTTTTTGTTACAAGATTTATAAATGTTTGATTAAGATATTACAGACTAGGGGATTTTTCTTCAACACAGGGCTTTGAACTGGTTCACTCTGGTTTTACCCTATGCTGAATATTGTTGTTATACATAAAAATCACCTAGCAATTTGGTTAAAATGTAGATTCTGATTCAGTATATCTGGGGTGAAAAGGCAAATTATCTGCAGGGTGAACCTATTTGAAGCCCTGATTCAAATTTAGGTAAACCTGGTTATTCATTTGAGGCTATGAATAAAATGAAGATACACTTTATTTGTATTACTAAATTTCAAACTTAGGTTTGATCAGACTCAGTATCTATCGTGTGCCAGCATTCAGAACCAAGGATTATCTCTATTGAAGATCACTTATGATTGTTCATCTCAAACTGCAAACTTAATTTTAATAATGAAGATCCTGATTAGTTTTCTCTTTTTGGTACACTAATTATCATGTGCCTGTTAAGTAATACTTAAGACATTGTTGATAAAAGGTTTTTGTATTCAAGTAACGAAACCCATCTTAATCCAAATTTTATTCTTGTCTTTAATATTATAGGTATGTAGATAATGTGATACTTAATCTGCTGTCTTTGCATTTTCGGCTTAACATACCCCAAAAGTAAAAATGTTACTTGTTTTCTTTTGGACATAATGGGTGTTAAGGAAATACTACTTGAATGTATTCTTCAGTTTTCAACTTTGTGACCTTTCTTTCTTTTTGACTTTATAGAGAAATATGCGTGAATGTATTGCTAATGGCATAGTTCCAGTTACCTGTCACCTGCGTTTTGTACAAAAAGAGAGATTAGCATTTCTAGGACCAGTTGTAGCAGAGTTCTGTGTAGACATCTAGAACTCGTTGCCATCTTTACAGTGGCATGACCAGATTGCCTTTTTACACCATTGTCTTGTTTTCGCTAAAATTAAGCTCTTGCGGCCTCCATTCTCTAGGTAAAACCATGTGAGGAGCACTTCTACCATTATAAATGTCGTTATGTTACATGGGGTTATACATTTAATCCACTTAGAAATTGTGGACTCTAAATAAATGATAATTTAAAAATAGTGGTTTTGATGGGATGTAGAATCATGTTGTTACTTTGTGATTAATGAAACCCACATTGTATTACCACTCTGTGTTTTCATTATGAGTCCCAAGAGGTTTGTTTTTTTTTTAAATAGGAAAAGAGTTATATTTTCATTTTGATCATTGTCTGTTAAACATTTAAGAGTATTCTTTAGAAGAATCAGATAAGAACTTAAATTAGCTGTATAGTTTCTTTCTAAATTCTTGATTTTCTAAGTCTTCTTTGATAAACATTTTAAATGATCCTTTTTTATTTGTAGTGTTTAAAGATAAAGTTAGAGACACTTATCAATTTCTTCCTTCTTCATCTCATAAAATACAGTGAGGACATAGTTCTTGTAGGGAAGTGATAATGAAACCTCTTATTGCTAACATAATCAGAGTAATTGTGTTTGGTTGCAGGAATCTATAGAGAGCTCTGCTTAGAATCTGTAAAGAACAAATATGAATGTGAAATTCAAGCTTCTCGCCAACATTGTGAGGTACTGACATTTTGCTTAACTTTTAAGCTAATTTCATCTCTTCAAGCCTTTTTTGAGTACAGCAGTTAAAAAAGGGAATACATTAAGTAAAAATTAGATAGTAATTCAACTTATCACTTGTATGAGATTTAAAAAATTTTTTTATTCAGTTGCACTAAAAGCTGTTGGACATAGGACATCAAGAGAGGAAAAGAAAGAAAGTGATATAATTTTAGAATTTTTGCAACTATTACTTTAAAAATCTATTATAATGATTATGTCATTTGGCATCCCTGAAAATAATATTATAATGAGTATAATATGGAAGCTAAGGCTCAAAAAATGTATAGCCGATGGTGCCGTTAAATTAAATGTTGGGCTATTAAAATTAATTTTTGACTCTCTGCCTATTTACACATCTTAAGGCAAAATCTATAGGAAAAAATGGCTCTATATTCTCTTATTCTCAATTGCATTTATAAAACAATGCTAATTTGCAACTAATTTTTCATATAACTCGGACAAGATCATAAATATACTGGTGGAAATAACAGGACAAAATTTGTAATTCTTTTTTGTTTTAAACAGGTAAAATTAGCTTTACAATGTCTTTTTAATCCACTGATGGTGGTGGTGATTGTGTGCCACTGAGTTGGTTCCAACTTACAGTGACCCTTTATAGGGTTTCTGAGGCTGTAAATCTTTACTGAAGTCGAAACCCTTCACTTTCTCTCATGGAGCGGCTGGCAGATTTGAACTACAGACCTTGTGGTTAGCAGCGCAGCTCATCATCCACTATGCTATCTGTGCTCCTTTATAACCCAATGTACCTTGAATGTTATTACTTCAACATAAAATCAATTAAATAGTATTGTTACTAACTGTTGTCCAGTCAATTCTAGCTCTTGGTAACCCCATGTGTGCGGAGTAGAACTGCTTCATAGAGTTTTCAAGATTTTGACTTTTGGAATCAGATTGCCGGACCTGTCTTTTGACACTTTTGGGTGGATTTATACCACCAACCTTTTGGCTAGTAGTCCAACGCTTACCTAGTTTGTGCCATCTAAACTAAACCTACTACCATGGAGTTGATTCTGACTCATAGCGACCCTAAATAAGATTTCTGAGGCTGTGTATCTTTTTTTATTTATTAAGACTTTTATTGTGGATTGAGTGAAAGTTTACAGGGCAGATCATCAGTTTTACACTCAACAAATCATACACCTTGTTTCATTACAATGATTTTAATCCCCTCCATGTACCATCAGATAATTGTATTTTTCTCTATTTACTTTAGCTCTTTTTTTTAAAACACTCAGGCTTATATAATAATTCACACCACCGAAGCGTGCATTCTCCAAGTCTGCCTCTTGGCCGCCAGCTCTCAGTCCCTCTCTTCCCATGAATTTAGAGTCCTCAGTTGCATTCTCTCTCCATGTCCCCATCTCTGCCTCCATGTCTGGTGTCGCTTCTTCTCTGGATAGGGTCCCACGTTCCACTTGTGTTCTTCTCCCTTGATGATCCTAGGGCCCTCTGTTTCTGGACTGTAAGATTAACTACTCCCCAATTTTTATTACAATACTTTACCTTAGCACTTGTGACAGTTGCAGTAAGTCATGATAACTATTACTCACTATTGAATCATAAGAATCTTATCCCCATCTCTTTTCACCAGACCCATCTAGACTAAGATGAAAACTATTTAGTGGGGACTCTTTCTTCCCCCACACACTGTTAAACTAAACATCCCCTTGAAACGTTGTAAACCAGCCACTTCGTGCCTCCATCACCCCCTCATTTTAGGTAGCCAATATCTAAGTTGCCTGTCCCTATCTACCCTGTATACAGAAGGGATAGCATTGATACTTGATGTGAAGACTCCTTCCTTCTCTGTTGGTATTTAGAGTTACTACCTCCAAGATTATAGGTCAGGTTCATCAAATTGGCAATTTACCCTTGATTCCTATATCAAAAATTGTTTTGTTCTTTTCTCTCTCTCTCTTTTTTTAATCTTCCTCTAGTTCTGATTATCAAGCCATCAAGGCTAGGTCAAATGGGTACTGTCTGCAACTTCGGATGTTCTTGTGGAGGCTGTATATCTTTATCGGAGCAGACAGACTAATTTTTCTCCCATAGAGAGACTGGTGGGTTTGAAGTACTGATGTTGCAGTTAGTCTGTCCTACAGAGCCAGTAAGTGTCCTTTTGTGACATCTAGGGACTATTAAGAAGTACTGCTGTTGTTGTTAGGTTTGGTAGAGTTGGTACAAGTACAATTTGACTGCTGGGACAGAGCATGGGGAATAGGGGTAACAGAGCTTGCCACAGGGTATCGATGTTTGTTCACAGCTTTAGAGTGTCAGCAGATCAGCTTGTAATTGTTAGGTGTCCTCCAGTCACTTCCGGCTCATAGTGACTCCATGTGCAGCAGAAAGAGCCACTGCCCAGTCCTGCACTGTCCTCACAATCGTTGCTATGCTTGAGCCTTATGGTGTAGCCAGTTCAGTCTGTCTTGTTGAGAGTCTTCCTCTTTTTGCTGACCTTCTACTTTGCTAAGCATGATGTCCTTCTACAGGAACTGGTTCCTATTGACAAAGTATCCAAAGTATGTAAGGCAAAGTCTTTCCATCCTGATTTCTAAGGAGAAATCTAGCTGTATTTCTTCCAAGACAGAATTGTTTGTTTTTCTGGCAGTCTATATATATTCAATATTTTTTGCCAGCATCATAATTTAAAGCCATCATTTCTTCTTTGGTCTTTTTAATTCATTGTCCACCATCTGCATGTATATGAGGTGACTGAAATAACATGACTTAGATCAGGTCCACCTTAGCTCTCAAAGTGACATGTTTGCTTTTGAGCACTTTAAAAGAAGTCTTCTGCAGCAGATTTGCCCAGTGCAATGTTATTTGATTTCTTGGTTGCTGTTTCCACAGGCATTGATTGTGGATCCAAGTAAAATGAAATCCTTGACAACCTGAGTCTTTTTTTCCATTTAGCATGATGTTGCTTATTGGTCCAGTTGTGAGCCCTTTGGGTGGTTTTTGTTGAGGTGTAATACATACTGAAGTTTTTATCAGTAAATGCTTCAAGTTCTCTTCGCTTTCACCAAGCAAGATTGTGTCCTCTGCATATAGCAGTTGTTAATGAGTCATCCTCCAATCTTGATTCTGCGTTCTTCTTGAAGTCCAGTTTCTCAGATTATTTGCTCATCATACAGATTGAATAAGTATGGTGAACTGAAACAGCCCTCACGCACACTTTTCCTGAATTTAAACTATGCAGTATCCCTTTGCTCTGTTCAGATGACTGTCTCTTGGTTCTGCATGAGCACAGTGAAGTGTTCTGGAATTCCCATTCTTCTCAGTGTTATCCATAATCTGTTACGGTCTACAGAGTTGAATGTTTTGCATAGTCAGTAGAACATAGTAAACATCTGTTTTGGTATTCTTTGCTTTCAGCCAAGACCCAACTGACGTTGAACATTTATTTATTTATTTATTTTGGCTGTAGGGATATTTTCTTAAGAGTTTATGCCTTTGAAAGAACATTTGTGATATTTTATGTGGGATTTCTGTTTCCATATGGTAGGATGCTTTTTGTTTGTTTTTAACTTAGAATATCTAGTCTTCTATATTGGAGTCCTGGTGTGGTGCTGTGGGTATCCCTTTGTTTTACAAAGTCGCATTGATCTGTAAGGTTGGTGGTTCAACCTCACCAGTTGCTTCTCAGAAACCCTATACAGGGTTGCTATGGTTTGGACCAACTCAGTGACACTTCACAACAAATCACAACAACAAATTTTGCCAAAACAAAAGTTAACAAGATAGCTTAAAGTAGTAATGTTTTTACTTAGAAAAATATATGTTTTTTCTTTCTCTTTCATCATGATTCCACTTCAAGAGTCCTTCTATAAGATGCTAAATATTTGTTTAAATGTCTTCTAGTTTAGTTATAACTTGTGTTTTATATGTTTGGACTCCTGGTGTGGTGCTGTAAGGTAAACACTGGACAGTGAACTACCAGGTCAGCAGTTCAAACCCATCAAGCTACTCCTTGGAAGGGTCTTGCTATGAGTTAGCATATAATTAATCCATTACAAATAATCTGTTTACCCATATTATGAATTTGACTATATTCATTAGTACTTAAAGACAAGGAAATTAGGAAAGGAAAACTTACATTTAACTCTGTCATGACCAAATTATTTTCTACCTTAAAGTTTTAGTTGATGCCATGTGCTTTCTGTAATGGAAAGAATGCTGAAAGCAAGGGAAAACATTTCTTTCTGAGATAATATGGATTGTGATACAAAACTAATGGGACCCCTATGTTCCAAGTAGACTTGTGTAGTAGAATTGGTGGAGTGCGGCCCATTTTGTCAAAATTCACATGGTTTATAGGTCACTACCAGGTGGCAGTATGTACTACAACTGGGATATCAGGTTCCCAAGAAGCCTGAGAGGCTGGAAATATTGGTGGGCAATATCTGCCCCATGGGTTACTGAAAGGGTTTAAAGATTTGTGTATTTTATATTCACTCATTTCAATCCTTACAACAACCTTTTGGGACAGGAATTATCTTAATGTAATGAATGAAGTAAATAAGGTTCAGCGAGGTTAAGTAATTCATAGAGGGTCACACAATTAATGAGCAGCAGTACAGGACTGAAATCCTTTGATCATTCTAGTCATTCATGCAGTTTGCCACTAAATCTTAACTTCATTTTTCTGGGGTTTTATCTGCTTATTCCTTATTTCTAAATTAATTCACACTTAGAAATTACTGAGAGGCAACAGAAGTGGAAAAAAGGACTTCATTGTATCAGTTGGATTAGCAGCAAATAGAGAGGAGGTACCAGGGCCTGGCTAGACATGTTCATACAGTTATGTGTATGTTGTTATTATTATATTGAGTTGATTCTCACTCAGAGTGACTTTGTATAAGATTTCTCAAGGTCAGCCACCGACCTTGTAGTGAGCAGTTCAGTACTTACCCTCCAGAGCCACAGTAAGACTCCAGGAAATGTGAACCCAGCGTGTCCAAAACCACAGAGGCAACCGAAGCAGAAGATGATTTGTATCAAGTTCAGAATGGAAATTGCATTTATATATGCCAGGCACTAAGACAGGTGGAGAGGCATTACTGAGGTTCTCTCATTTAAGCCTCATAACAGGGTAGTCTTAAGATCTGACAGTAGGTGGGAGCAAGGTCTCAACCAGAGGCTTCAGGGTTCAGGGTGAGATTCTAGTTCTTGAGAAGTCCAGAGTTGTTCAAGACTCTGATCATTTCATTGTCTTTTCATTTAATGGGTTATTTTTCTAATAATGTTGCTGTTAAGTGCTGTCAAATCAGTTCTTACTCATAGTAACCCTGTGTAGTGTTTCCTGAGAAATGGCTGGTGGGTATGAATTGCTGACTTTGTGGTTAGCAGTCCAGTGCTTATCCTACAGCTAAAGAAGGTAATGAAATCAACCAACCATAATCTACCAACCAGAGGCCATCATTTCATTGTTAATGAGTATGTTTGTGTCATTTTTTTGTGCACAAGGTGCCACTGTATACACATTGTTTTGTATCTTAACATTTTTCAAGCAGCATTTTCCTATTGCTCTAAATCAGGGGTGGGGAACATCTGGCCTGTGGGCCATGTAAGGTCTGCAAAATCATTTGGTCTTGCCCTGCCAAAGCAACCGCAGTTCCAGCCATCACATTGGTGGTGGTGGTGTGCTGTGGAGTTGGTTTAGACTCATAGCTACCCTATGTAGGGTTTCCGAGGCTATAAGTTTTTATGGGAGAACAATCTTTTTCTGTGGAATGGCTGGTAATTTCGAACTGCTGACCTTGAGGTTAGCAGCCTGACTTGTAACCACTATGCTACCAGAACTCCTTAGCCATCACATTTTGTTGTTGTTAAGTGCTGTTGAGTCAGTTCTGACCCATAGCGACCCTGCATAGGGTTTCCAAGGAGCAGCTGGTGACCTTAACTGCCTACTTTGTGGTTCAAATTGACTTTGCAGTCCAGCGCATTAACCCACAGCACCACACCAGAACTCCAGCCATCAGTTTGGTGGTGGTTGTGTGCCGGTGGAGTCTGTTGAGGCTGTAAATCTTTACTGGAGTAGAAAGCCTCATCTTTCTCCCTCGGAGTGGTTGGTAGATTCAAACTGTGGTTAGCAGCTCAAATCATAATCCACTACGCTACCAGACTCCTTAGCCATCACATTAGAGGTGAGTTAACTAAATGTTTGACTAAATATAGCCGAATAATTTTTAACGTGATAATTTGTATGGACTGTGAATGATGTTATGAATTTTGGCAGAAAAATTTCCCCACCACTGTTCTCAATGTTCTTTTTAAGCATTTTGATTTTAGCAGGCAATATGTGTGCATATTCTGATGGCCTTAAGCATATAAAGAAAAACAGCAGTCCCCTTCACTACCTCTACATTCTATATTCAACAGGCAATGAATTTAGGTACTCATTCTGGAATGTACAATATATTTCTAAGTAATATCAGTTGTAGGCCTTATTTATTAGTTTCCTATTATGGAAATAAGGAGTCCATAATGGTTTTCCTCAACCTCTTCTTCTGATATGATGTCACAGTTTTTGTCATTGTCCTAGGAGTTATACTATGCTTTAAATTCCCTTGTACAACTTTTTTTTTAAAGATCTTGGAACTAATAATAGCTTTATTTATTGCTTGTTAATGTTCTCTGTATTTATCAGCTTTCCCAGAGATTCCAGGAGGTATGGAAGTCCCCTAATTCTGTTTTCACTGTGTATCAGACAACCTCCGAGCTCCGCTTTCTTCTGGAGGATTCTCTCCTGAAGCAAGTCCTCCAGAACCCTTCCAGCTTATTCTCCCCATCCATCCTGTTCATCCTTTAGATGCTCTCTAGGCACTAATCTCTTTACCCCCACTCTGGACATTCCCTTTATTTCTTTCCTATTGGATCTTATTTTGTCTTTCAGTTTGTTGGAGGAGAGTTTTTACTAGCTTCTTGGGAATGGGATATAGAATTGAATTTTGAGACCTCTTGTATTACTTATCTAATGCTTTTTTTTTTTTTTTTTAAATTAAATGTTTTTATTTTGCATTGAGTGAAAGTTTACAGGGCACATCATCAGCTTCACATTCAACCATTCATATAGCTTGTTTCATTACATTGATTATTATCCCCTCCATATATCATCAGTTAACAGTGTTTCTCTCTATCCTCTTTAGCTTTTTTTTTTTGGGTAGGGGGGGACTTGGCTTATTGGAATTTACAGTCTCGGCTTTTAGGGGAGGTTTTTACATTTGTCTGTGGATATCCAGGGCTCACGTATGAGATTACTAACAAGCATTACTGAATAATCAGATGAGGGACAGTTTGTTGTGTCTACTAGGTGGCTAGAGTTATCTAATGCTTTTTAACAAATTATTTTACAACATAGTAGCTTTAAAAACAACAGTAAACATTTATTATTTTCACATTACTGTATTCAGGAATTTGAGAGTCACTCAGTCGGGTGGTTCTAACTCAGGGAATCATATGAGGTTGCTGTTAAGATGTCCACTGGTGATGTGGTTATCTGAAGGGCTCTAACGGCTGACCTTGGGAGGGCCTGCGCTCCCTTTTTCTCTAACAAGACATTTTCCAATTCTTGTAGCACTGTGTACTAAGTCTGGAAGATTACAATAGACTTTAAAAAAGGCAGGAAACAATCAAAAAGGAAGTAAACCAGAAAGTAGCAGGAAATAAGTCTAGAGAGTAGTAACGTGTGAGAAATTTTCATGAGATCGAATTTTAGTCTTCTCTAGCTTTGCTTTCTCTTCAGCTCCTGATTTGACTCAAATTGACATAAGCCATCTTTTTGTGTTTACACAGGAATACATTTAAACGTGTATAGACTACACTTTATACCCCAAAGAGGGGACTTAATGATCTACCAACTTGAGTGTGACCTGTGTCTTCTGCAAGACCATCATATCTAACTATATCCTGGTGGTGTTGTTATTCAGTGTTGTTGAGTCACTTATGACTCATAGCAACCCTGTATAGGGTTTCTGCATTGCTGCTGGTGGGTTTGAACCACTGACCTTGTGGTTATCAGTCTGGTACTTATCCTACAGCATCACACCAGGACTGCAGTAACATCCACAAGCATGCCTATCTATTTTCTACTTGCCTAATAATATCCTTACTAGAGGTAGACATCTAGTGGATAGGTTGGGAATTTGTTATGGGCTTTTTATGTAATGAGTCTGTACAGTATACTTGTATACATTTTATGGGCTTTTAAATAAGGGATACACGCTAAGCGCTGAAACTCTAAGGTTAGAAGTTCAAGTCCATCATCCACACTCCGTGGGAGAAAGATGAAGCTTTTTGTTCCCGCAAAGGTGTTCAGCCTCGGAAACTCTATACTGGGTTGTTAGGAGTCAAAACCAACTTGAAGAGATGACACTTAATAACAACAACGAGAATGTGAAATAATTAAAAGAAAAGTATGTGAAATAATTAAAAGAAAAGTATACTACTTCTAGTTTGATAACCAGTAAGTGATTTTGTCAGTTTTAGCAAGTTATTCAATCTTTAGTTTTGCTAAGATATTTAGATATGATTAATTAGTCTATAATTTTATGATTTTGACTATAATTGAATTGTGTAAATGATTATGAAATTTTTCTGGACTCTTTCTATATCTGATATATTTTTGTTTTTTTTTGTTAAGTGCCGTCAAGTAAATTCCGACCCATAGCAACCCTGTATAGGTATATTTGTTGTTGTTACTTGCCGTCGAGTCGGTTCCGACCCATAGTGACCCTGTATAGGGTTTCTGTGGAGCAACTGGTGAGCTTGAACCACCGACCTTGCAGTTGATGGTGTGATTGTTTGTGAGCAATCAAGAGCTAATTGTTTCTGTGAGAAAATAGGATCCATTTGATAATGATATACCATGACAGAAAAAGGTGGGATCTGCTGACATTCACAGAGGGGCTTGGGAGCTTGCTATGAGGGTTTTAAAATAAATATTTACTTCCTTATTTATTACATTTAAATTTAGATATTCTTAACATAATTTAATTGTATGGAGTTAAGTCTGTATTTAGAACCTATATTTTCTAGTTGGACTCCTTAAAACATTTGACATTTGTTTAATATATTCAAGTTGAATTAAAAAGAGCAGACAAAAAGTGTTGTATGTCAATGTATTTTAAAAGTAAGTTATTTAGTACTGTTAAGATATACCAAGTTTTTCTTTCTTCTCATGTGTAATCTTTTTTTTTTTTTTTTCCAGAGTGAAAAGCTTTTGTTATATGATACAGTCCAGAGTGAACTTGAGGAGAAGATAAGAAGGCTTGAAGAGGATAGACACAGCATTGATATTACCTCAGGTACAGGGATGATGGTGATTTCAGTATCTAGTAGCATTGAGCTTTTAGTTTACTACAGTGTTTCAAAATACCTTGCTGTTGTTGTTGTTGTTAGGTGCTGTTGAGTTGGTTCCAACTCATAGTGAACTTGCACAACAGAACAAAACACTGCCTGGTCCTGCGCCATCCTCACAATTGTTAAGATTGAGTGCATTGCTGTTGACACTTTGCCAGTCCATCTTGTTGGCGGTCTTCCTTTCTTTTCCTGACGCTCCAGTTAACCAAGCATGATGTCCTTTTCCAGAGACTGGTCCCTCTTCATGATATGTCCGAAGTATTAGAGATGAAGTCCCGCTATCCTGGTTTCTAAGGAGCTTTCTGGCTGTACTCCTTCCAACACAGATTTGTTTCTTCTTCTAGCAATCCATGGTCCTTTTTTTTTTTTCCTTTTGTTGTGTGATAGCTTACATGGGGGAACATTAGCTTTACACTCATTCTATCATACATCATTTCATTGCCATAGTTACCATCCCATCCATGCATCACAACCCAGTCAAAGGTTATACCCCGCAGGCCCCCCCTCTCTCCCCATGGTCCTCAGCACACAGCTCCCTTCCCTCCCTGGATCTCAAGTCCTCAGCCACTCCATCTCTTCATGTCATCCTCTCTGTCTCCATCTCAGGCCTCGCTGCTTCTCTGGGTGGGGTCCCGATTTCTGTTCTTCTCCAGTGATG